CACAGTCAGGCAGGGCCAGTGAACATGTGGTCAGAGTCGTTGTGGGAGGAGGGGCGGAAGCTGCTCCACTGCCCTGTGAGACATCCTTAAGACTCTGGTCTTAGAATCTGCGTTGCATGTAAAGTCCAATCAAACGAATGCGTTTGAACCATGAGTTCAGAGATTGGGTTCTATGTGTGCTCCCATCCCATTTTCTGCCCCCAGATTAGGTCTTGGCCACCTGATCTTTGCTCCCTAGAGTACCAGGTCCCATCCAGACTGCCTCCCCTCCACTTTGCTCTGGAAATAGGCACAGCAACCTGGTTATCTCTAGAAGAAGAGACTATATGCCACATCTGCTGTAGCTCTTTGCTCCTGAGTGGGGTCTGTGTGGAAACGTAAGGGCAACCGCGTGGCCCGTGCCAGCTCAGGGTGAAACAAGGTTCTGATCATCTCCACGCTGAGCTAGAGGCACCAGGGATCATTCAGCAGGCTCTCTCACCCACCCAGGCCAGATTCAAGAACTTCTCAGCCTGGAAGTTGCGATCATTTAGGATTTCTGTCCAGAAGTGGCTGTGGTTCGGAGCGCAGACTCTTGGGAACGGGAGGCTGATGTCTCGGTGCCCTCATTTTACACTCAACTCCACGAATGACAGACAGAGCTGTTTTGTTAAACCTCTTCCTCTCTCTGGTTGGGGTTTTATTTATTTGCTTGCTTCATTTGTGTTAAGCAAGGGTCCCACTCTGTAGCCAAGACTGACCTCAAAGGCACTATGTAGACTTAGAGCAACTGATCAGATTGTATGCACAGGAGGCTGGGGTTGCAGGAATGGACCACCGCATCCCCATGCCTCCTGTGTCTGATAAAGCTGTTACCCTCTCCCTAACTCTCAAGCTTAGCCTCCCCAAATCACCAATGGTTTACTCTACCCTTCATCCATATTCTCACCCACAGGACACATCCTCCCATCTGGTCCTTGGTGCCAGTCCCCCCAATGCCCATCTCTGCTATAGTTGAGTTGCTCATTATGGCTCTGCAGTCTTTTAGCTGAGTTAAAACACTCCTTGTCGCTTATACGTGTTTTGTGCTTACGTTTCACTCTTTTGCCTGAAGCCATTTTGTAGGACCTAAAAGGCTTCCATGAACCTCAAAATCATCTCCAGCCAGGAAACCTGACCCTTCTGAACAGCTAGCATGGTGCTTCCCTCAGGGAATCTTCTACACCAGCCTGGGCTGTGCGGTGACTGTGAAAGAGACACAATCCATCTTTGCCATTTGAGCAAAGTGTGGCAGAAAGTGCAGAGCTCTCTGCTTGGAGGCTTGGGGTCCAGAAAGCAAGCGTGCCCTCTCGCCTCTGTACACCCACGACTATAATGGGCTCTCTGTGCCTGCCCGTGGGATCTAACGAATCAGTGACTCTGTTGTGTAAACAGAAAGCCCAGCGCACCTGGAACTGTCCTGCGTCATCCCTTGCCTCCTCTCAGTTCACCTAACAAAACACCCTGCTGCTTTTCAGACCCAAGCCCATTGAACACCTGTATCGTCATTATCAACACTGACACAGACTCATCGCACACTTTCTACTAAGGTCTAACATGCTATATTCTGGGTGCTTGGAATAATCTCAAAGGGAACACCTGTTACTTAAGCGGTCTTATTTGCAACCTCTGGAGGGCAATTTATTCATTACTATATTAAAGTGGGTTGTTTAATAACTTATAACTGTCAGAGAAGAAAGGTAAATTATAGTCGCTGTGATCAAACTGGATACCTAAAAGACATGTATTTTTCCACCTGCAATTCTTTATTTTTCCCCCCAATTTCAATCCTGTTTTCTAGGACCAACTAAGAAACGCGATGTAAAACAGTGAAAGCAAAGGAGATTTAGTTTTGCTGCCAGACTCCTATTCAGCCTTAGTATCTCATTAAATAGTCTACTCTTGACTTCAGGATGCCATATTCATCAACATAATTGTGTAAGTGGCTTTAATGCCTTTTTCTTTCTCACGTGATTAAGATCATTAACCTAATTATCCAATAATTAAATTTTTGAAACTCTGCATGATAGAATTTTATTCTTCTGAAGAAAAAAGGGCACTAACTGAATTTGAGCAAGACACACTTTTAACTCTCTGGGCTTATAAAGAATCAAGAAGGATGGTTCTATTTTTACATAGAGACTTCAAGATGTTTACATACAGAGAATTAATGCATCAGAATTAAAGGCAAATGTGGGGCTGGAGAGATGGCTCAGCAGCTAAGAACACTGATCTTCCAGAGGACTGGGGTTCAGATCTCAGCATCCACATGACAGATAGCAAACATCTGTAAGTCTAGATCCAGCATATCCAATGCCATTTTCTGCCTCTGTGGGCACTGCACACATGTGCTACACAGACACATGCAGGCAGAACACCCATGCACATAAACTAACTTTTGTTAAAGTTAGACCTTGGAAGGATCAGTCTTCTTTTTGAGAAATCTGTAAGTGCAGACAAGGAAAAGGATGCGGAAAACGCTAGAACAGGCAAAGGAGGCAGCAGCAATTCAGGTCTGGGAAGCTTATCTGGAGGGACAAAGCACAGAGCTTTTGCTAGGCTAGGATATGATTAGGTGTCATATGATAGGTCTATGTAAATAGAAGGACATCTATTTACATATTCCTTGAATGTAACGTTGGCTCAAAAACAGTTGCTTTGAAGACAAAGCTTGGCTCAGGGAAAGATTAGACTGCTCAAATGTGCTCCGTCTCAGATGAGGGGAGCACTGGAAAGGAGGGAAACAAGAATACAGACAAACAAGATACCACCACCACCATCAGTCCAGTCTGTTGCCACTTTTTAAATAATTGTCATGTGCCGGGTACAGTCTTGGGAGCTTTGGTGCAGCATTGGATTTCGTGTCCACAGAACAGCCCTTGCCAGATAGGGGTACTGTTGCCCCTTTGTGAGTGGAGAAATGGAGACAGTGAGACTAATTCTCTTTCGGCTCAACTAATGATGATGATAATGTATTAACACAAAAGGGAAAAAAAAGCAGTTTCATCAGAGAGCATCGTAAGTAAAAATGAAAGAAGACACAAACAACTAAAACCACACAAATACATAGCAGAAGTCAACGGCAAAGTAAATAATAATAACAGCAGCAACCACCATAAATTCCTCACCCTAAACAAGTGAAACTAAAGTGACCCAAGATCTTGAGCTCCCTGTAGCACCTTCCACCTACCTTCCCTTCTCAATTCTCCAACAAGCTTGCCTTATTTATAGCCACTGTCACTGCCCTGGGGGAAACGGGAAAAGAAAAAGCTCCCTTCTCCCATGTCAGTTTCCAAATACAAAGAGGCAACTTGCTTTCCACCCTGGCTGCAGAGTAAGGGCTGAGCTCACAGGGAGCAACAGCCACTGGAAACCCAATTGGCATTGCTTGTCATAACCTCCACGGCCCCAGTCCTAGGTGTCAGGAAGGCAGGCTGAGGGTGCCAAGAACGCTAGTCTTGAAAGTGCAGTATATGAACAATATCCAATGAAAGTCATGAACTGAAAGAGAACAGTTTTTAAAAAGCCATAGGAGAAAATCGGTTATGGATGAATAAGAACTGTAAAGGCAATAAAAAGACTACTGCTCAGGGTTGTACGAGTACCCTTCAGTTCAGGAGGGTCTTTTGTAGCTCACACATACAGCATGGGTGTGGAAAGAGAGGAAAAAGATTTGTGATCTTACAGGCTCTTCAACACATCAATTACTAAATGTTTTCATTTTCTTCCTATGACTTTTAAAACCATAAAGAAATTGACATTTATTGAAAATCATAACTAGGTTGCTGATCCTCAACTTGTCAAGGTCTTTAAGAAGAACATAGTGAATAACAAAGATTAACAAGATAAAACACTTTTCCAGACTCTCCTTAATGTTAAAGGGTCATATTGACAGACATGTCACAAATATATGAGGCTTGGGTTTAGCTCAGTTCAGCTGGTCTATATAAAATTATAAATTTGCAGTGAAACAGAAAAGAATTGCAAAAAAAGTCCTTCCCACAATTTTTGCTATTGTATTCAATGGCATCCAAACTCTAGAGAAACATATGTCTCCATGAGACAAAGATATAGACATAAGCCAACCATAGAAGCAAAGGTGAGAACTTTCAATTCTTAGGAACTCAGAGAAAGTCTCACGGAGAGTGACACCCAGCTCTGCCCCTCAGGGACCCACAGAATGAGAACTTTCAGATTCAGCAATCTCATATCAAGTTCAAATCACTGTCAAAATGAAGTCAGAAAAACCACATAAAAACATGCTGAGCTTGCCTTTCCACTTCAATCTAGCATGTTTGCTGTGCCTATTGCCTTGGGAATGCCAAAACTATACCAGTGGAGTTATCGACAAACTGAAACTCTGCTTGCCCACCTCCATCTAAAGCTGACTGCTGTGTCCAGGCTTGAAGATGACCGAGTCCCTTTATTTGTCCAGCCTCTCTAAACTCCACTGAAGCAGACATGAAGAAGAGCTGCATGGGCCAGAGAGTCAGTCTTTCTCATCTTTCTTCTCTTGGAACTCATGCAAATTTACTAGAGAAAAGGGAAGCATCCCGGAGTTAGGTACTCTCTTCACCTTGAAATAGAGTATGGAAAACCATCATCTCCCCACCCCCTGGCCAACACCAGAGACACAAAACACCCATTTTCTTCAGGATACCACTGGGGTTCTAGAAAATACTCCTCTTTCTAGCAGTTCCCAGATGCATTTAAACCCTAAGACCTGTTCTTAGGGATAGTATCTTGACAGAGATACATGTAGAGTTACTGAGGGATACAGAATTTTCCCATAAGCCATTGTTTTAGGAAAAGACCATTCCATCAAAGATAATATCACTCTCTAACTAAACTCCAGGAGGAACTCAAATAGCAAGACTATTTTTGCAAAGTGTCTAAATAAATGTGGTCCTGGTCGTCAAAGGATGAGGGGGAACATGGCCGCCAAACTGGGGTCGGGGAACCGAGGACAAGCAGAGCCCTACCTGATAGGCATCAGGAATGTTGACTGTCTCTCCGTGCTCCCCGACATAGCCAATGATACCTTTGCCCCAGGGGACCTGCACCTCGTTTGAGTTCTCCGTGCTGCTGCACGGGAGGAGTGGGGTTCCTGCGTGCACATCAAAAAATTTGGAGACCAAACTCTTCTTGCCAGCAGCTGCCCCCTCCACTAAGAAGAGAGAGCAACGGTCGGCGTCCACCATGAGACAGACAAAGATGAGGATCTTGTAGCTGAGGCTGGTGAGGTCAAGGTCATTGGAGATGTCCTTGACCAGTTCCAGGAAAAACTGGCGTTCATTATGTTTTTTGAGGTGGCATTTGTAGTCGATGGCCGTAGGGGGGTACTGAGGCAGATTCACCCTCGATTCCAGCAGGGCGCTGAGAATGTGGGCTGTAGTAGGGGGCAGAGAGCTGGCCTTCCTGAGCAGGGCTCTCCGCCGGACACTGCTCATGGGCTCCTGGGCCCGGGAGGTCACCTGCTCATCGTAGGTCCTGTTCACATGAATGGCTTTGGAGCGGGCAAAGCTCTTCCGCAGCTCTTTCTGTGAAGCTTTCCGCTGCAGGTTCCCATCGCCCCGGCTGCCACTGGCCCAGCTGGGGCTCAGGGGAACCCCAGGACTTTCCCCACCACCGGGCATGGGATGGCTGTTAGCAGAGCCCTGGGGACCAGCAACGCCAGCAATCCCAGTGCTGCCTCTGCCACTACCCTGAGCCAAGCTGCCAGTGCCAGCCAGGGCAGGTTTCATGCCTGAAGCCCCCTGTCCCGGACTGTGCCTTTGTAGCCACTTGTCCGCCAGCTCCTGCTTCCCTTTCCGCATCAAATAGTCTTCCAACAACTCTGGATGCCTATCCAGAAAAGTTTCCACCTCCCCGAAGTCCAGGCTGGAGGCTGCCATGGTCCAAGGCGCCCCTTGTCTTGTCTCTCTGCTCTTGGACCACACGATAACCTGTCCAGAGGCCTCTAGCTGTTGCTGCACATGTTTGCTCACACCGGTGTCCCCAGCTCGGTGCTACTTCCCTGAGGGCCAGTAGGAGGTTGATAGGAACAGCAGGATCCCAGCCGGGTGGTGCCAACTCCTTTCGAGGTTCAGAACCGCTGTCACCCACCCTACCCTTGCTCCTCTTGCTCCGGACAGGTGCCGGCCCGGCCCAGAGCGCCGACCGCTGCCACCGCTGCTTCCCCGGGCGGCTCGCACCACCGCTGCTCGGGCTCCCGCAGCCGCCGCTCCGCCCGCCGCTGGAGCCGGCAGAGTGGACCACTGTGTGCCGGAGGTAGGCAGGACACGCCCCGGAGTGAGACTCTGAGACTGCTGGGGGTAGGAGGAGAGGAGCAGATGGGACGCACAGCAGCCAAAGTCCACGGCCCAGGTGCCAGGCGGTTCCTGGAAGAGTCTCTGCGCAGCTCCGAGTGGGGAACGCACCTAGATGCCCCCCCAACGCCCCGCACGCCGCCCTTGCAGCCTCACCTCCTCCCCAGCCCGCCCCGCTCCGCCCCTAATCCTTCAGCTTTTCAGAAGGCCTCTGGGGAGCCCAGTGGGAGTCCACGTACTGAGAAATATTGATGATCTGTGAGGATCAGAACCCAAAGTGCACTCCGAAGAAACGAGGGTCCCCAGAGTCAGCCCGGGTTTTATTTTTCTGGGATGAGACTGTACTTTTAGTTTGCTCGGTTCCTCGGACTGCCCAGCACTCTGTGGGCGTGCAGTAAATTTTAATCAAACTAGTTTCCTTGAAGTTCCCTGTGTAAGAGATTCTTGAATTTAACGAAATTCGGAGATACCCACCCCCTCCCTTCTCTCGGTGATGGAGGGGAGCTGTACTTTGAATGAGGATGTAAAACTCAGTTACCCTGATTTAGGGAGACCCCTTGGAGCAGGGGCTCGTGGACCCGCAGTGTGAGCCTCCTTTTCTGCTGTGCACTAGATTCATTGATTCTCTTCCTCTCACCAAAGAGTCCTTACCTTCTCTTCCTTCTCTCTCAAAAGTCACAACGTCTTGGGGCTCCCGCACCAAGATGTCTGCTGTAACAGGTTCCTTTGGTCCTGCTCTGGCAGTTCTTTGAATCTGGTTAGTCATGCTAACAAAAGATTTCGCTTTGGCATTTTAAAGAGGATCTGGGTGATGATGATGCTTTCTTGAAGGAGGGAACAAGGCAAAAGCAGAGCCCGGACCACTTCCAGAACAGGAGACTCTTCCAGAATGCTAGAGGTGAGAGTGATAGACCAGAGCTGCAAAGGAGGCAAGCAGGGATTCCGGAGGCTCCAAGTGGCAGCCTTATGTAGATGTCTACTGTAAGTGGACATCAGAGCTGAGTAGGCAAAGTATATTAAACCTTAAATTAGCATAGGAATTAAATTCTTTCCAGAGGCCTATGGCACAGAGGTTTATTTCTCTACTTTAAATATAGGAAATGCTGGGAAACGAAGTAAATTAACCCAGGACTCACAGCCAAGCGTCATATTCACTCATTAACTTGGCTCTAGAGAGAGGCGCATTCTCAGACAGGACACCAAACTGTTCCCCACCTGTGCCAGGTGAGTCACATCTGTGCCAGAATGTAGAACATACAAAGAGGGTGGCTGATGAGGTAGAGCATCTTCTAAGTATCCTTCGGACAACACCAGGGGTAGAGAACACTTGCCCAGGAGTTCCAAGCCGGCCCGTGAGACAGCTCATCGGGAACAGGCACTTTCTGCCCGGCCTGACAACCAGAGTTCCGTCCCAAGACAGATGTGGTGGAAAGGGAAGGGACTCTCTCAGATTGCCCTTTGATCTCAGTGCTGTCCACCCACTCACACGATAAGTAAACAAAAAAAATAAATGTTGTTCTAAACTTTTAATTCCAAATGCCCCTGCTTAATCAATGCAGCCTAGCAACCAGAACACCAGTGTGGATTGGAGAAAGGCCCCTGTGTTGGTCTGTCCTCATACACAACAATACTGCTGTACTGTGACCAGCAGGAGGAACGAAATGGCGCTTGTTGTTTTGTAGCGACTTTATCGATGTGTGAGTCACCAAGCTTTCTACCCACTCTTTGGAAGTTATAATCCAGGGTTGAGGATGGAACTCAGTTGGTTGAATGTCTGGTTAGCAAGCATCATGCTAAACACTCCATAATGCAGGTACGTAGCCCCAGGACTTTATAGTCCCAGCAGTTGGGAGTTAGACATATGGGGATCAAAAGTTCAAGATCAATTTGGGCTACATGAGATGCTTTGTCTAAATAAATACTATTACTAATTATTATTATTAGAAAGGGCTGGAGAGAAGGTGTAGCAGTCAAGAGCATTGCTGCTCTTGCAAGGAACCTGACTCCCAGCACCTACATGGCAGCTCAGAACCATCTTTAACTCTAGTTTCTGGGGATCTAAGGCCTACTTGTGGTCTCCACAGACTCCAGATACACACTTGGTGCCCACACATACATACTGACAAAACACACACATAAAACGAAAATAAATAAGTCTCTAAAGACTAGATAAATAAAGAGTTACAAGTTAATGAAGCACAGCATATTCATGGATTGTGTGTTTGGTGCTCACAGGGTGAAGGAAAACAAAGGAATTCCACAGGACACCAGGATGTCGCTGATAGGTGGCGTGAAGAGGAAAGGTTAGGAAAGGACTGGATAAAGGGAGGAGGTGGGGAGGACGCCTTTCTGAGAAGGGAGCAGCTCGGCAGAAACCTATAAAAATGAGGTGTGTTACAGCCTGAATAACAGCCTACCAAGCTGGAGACGCACACTCCAACACCGTGAGAAGGAACAGGTTGGAGGATCTGCGAAACAGCATGAGACCAGCTACAGGCAGCGAGCCAGAAGCAGAATGCTGGTAGTTAGGAGTTGACAGCTGCCAAGAAAGTAAGTGATGATGAAGAATTAAAGGAAAAAAAATGTTTTGCACAGTGCCCAGATCACAGGAAGTGCTTAATAGACAGTAGCTATTCTGCTGGGTTTATTTGTATCAGTCTTTATTTGTATCAGTGGTATGTGGAAACCTTACTGCCTACAGTCAAGTCTCTGGTCACTTCAGTGACATGTCAGGAGGGATGGTTAAAGGCTTGCTAGAACTGGCTAATAGGGGCTTACAAGAACCTATTTTAACCTATGTTTCCAATGAATGTCCGGTTTCAGCATACAGCTTACAGTCAGCCGTGATGGAAATGTGTGTGCCATGGAAGTCTACAAATGTTCCAAACCTGGATTTGTGAGTGTGAGGTGAGCAAGTCAGTCATTCTCTGTCCGTGCGTGCGTGCGTGTGTGTGTGTGTGAGAGAGAAAGAGAGAGAGAGAGAGAGAGAGAGAGAGAGAGAGAGAGAGAGAGAGAGTTTTGTGTGCATGTATGTACTTGGGTGTATGTGATATGTGGGTGCCACGGCACATGTGGAGGGCAGAGTGCAACCTTTGGGTGAGGGGTCTTACCCCTCCATCTTGCTTGAGATAGGTTCTCTTCACTGCTGTGAAAGTCAAGTTGGCTGGGCCACAAGCTTGTGGAGAGCCCTACCTCCGCCTACTGTTCCCTGCAGGCCACTGGGGTTATAGATGCTCATGTTAGGGCAACCAGCTTTTACACAGCACCTGGGGATCCAGGCTCCGTTCACCAGTTTGGGCAACAAGTGTTTTACACGTGGAGCCATCTCCCCACCTCAGGGAAGTTTTTTTTTCAAATTATTGGTTGTTTAATAGTTATTAGTATTGGATGAAAACAATTTACTAATTATTTAATTAGTAAAAAAATAAAGTGTGCTATATAGTCCTATAATGAAATATTACTCTGCCACAAAAGGAATGAGGCACTGATACAGATACAATATAAAAAAATCATGAGAAGTCAAAACAGTCACCCACAAAGGGTCATATTTGTATGATGTCATTTATATCAAAAGTTTAGAATAGGACACTTCATTAGGGACAGAAAATGGACTAATTCCTGAATGGAAAGGAAGAAGAACGCCTGTGGCTATGTGTGGGAAAATTTTGGTTTTTGTTTGTTTGTTTTTGAGGAGTCGGGTAAGGAGAATGTTCTCACACCTGTGCCCTACACCCTGCTGTCATTTGCCCATGATTACTGTTCTGTGGTGTTGGAGATGAACCTAGGACCTAACACACACCAGGCAAGCAATCTACTCTGAGTTCTGCCCCTTTGCCGTCTTTTATTTTTCATTTGTAGATAGGGTCTCACCAATTTGCCCAAGCTGGCCTTGAGTTCACTCTGTATCCCAGGCAAGCCTAAAAATTACAATCCTCCCATATTAGCCTCCCAAGTATCTGGAATTACAGGACTGTACCATTCCTGCCCGAAGCTGGGCCACATTGTAAACTTTAAATGAGCGAATTATACCTCAATAAAATTTTTGCATACCAAAACCCCCTTTACTAGCATACTTCTGGCCATACTACACAGTCCTACTGCGCATGCAGGCAAGGCAGGCCCCAAGTATCCTCAGAGACAGGAGCACAGACCAGTCCTGGGATGCCTAAGGCAGAAGTTTAATAAATAGCCTTCTTGACATACTCATTACGTATGCAGTTTTATCATTCACCAGTCTCCGTAGGCAAAAGATGGAGACAAAAACTCTGGTTTTGTAATATAGTATATATTTCCATTGTGGCAAGACTCATGTGTCATGATCGCCTTAACCCTTTCTAAGCCCAATCCAGTGGCACTAACTATATTCACAGTGTTGTGCAGCCACCACCGCCAGCCAGTCGCTTTTTGATCTTGCACACTGAATCCAAAACTTCTGATTTAGATCTTGGATCTCTTTTGCAAAACAAGAGGCGGGTGCTGAGAATTCTGATAAGAGTAAGAAAAGCCATAAAAGAGATGGGGGGGGCTGAATTTGACATTTCTGGCTTGGTTTTGAATTGGCTGTGTCTGTGTTCCCTGCTTGGCACATGAAGTCACGGTAACACTGAAGTGTTCTGTGGAGGTAGGAAACGGGAAGGCTTGAGAACGCCGTGACAGAAGGCTGCATAATAAATAAGCTGGGGGTTGGTGTGGTCCAAGCGTCATCCTCGCTTCTTTTCACAAAGTTAGAGTCCCGACGGGAGACAGAGCCCACTCAAATCAAAATGGTTCTAAGAGAACTGAATTACAAAGGCTAACTTAAAAGGAAGATTATGGAGAAATCCCAGGGATAGCAAAGGAAACCTATTGACACAACAATAGACAGTCACCACCCTGATCGTAGGATAGAAGGAAAGGTTACCAGGACCCAGGAGACACACTTGCAATGTGATCAGTACCTGGAAGGGTGCAGTGACAGCTGTCATAAGACACCGAGAACTCAACCCTACCGCAGAGGAGGGATAGCAGGAAAAAATACCTTGAGTTCAGTTTTGCCTTGCCCTCCTGTCAGTGACCAGACCTAACTAGAAGTTGGAAGATGTTGGAACCTGTTGATGG